CTGAGTTTTGGTTTTGGATAGTATTTTGTTATTTTGCTATCTTGGTTAATTTATTTTATTGTTTTATTCTTATTAATGTAGTTGTTCACGTGTTTATATGTTTTAAATTGAATCTTATGTTAAGCACTTTGTTTGGCTTTGGCTGTGTTAAAGTGCTCTATAAATAAAGTTGTGTTGAGTTGAGAAACATCTGTTGGTTGACAACACCTGTTGGAATTTGGGTTCAACAACAAATAAGCAACATGTGCACATTTGCCTATTTGAGACTAATCTTATCTTCCACTGCATTGTGGAACAGTCTGTTGATGCACTTAGACTATATTTGAGGTATAATGCCATAATTTTCACAGTCTGTCATTTTACCCTCTTTTTGTTATTACTGATGTTTTTCAGATAATTTCACTTGTTTGTAGCTCTGTTAATTATGTCTTGTTGCTATGAAAACTTGCATATTCGTGTCAAAGTGCGACCAACTGGCAACCAACCGACTGCAAGAGTCTACTTTGTGGCAGTGCTTGTCAGTGTTAGTTTGTAACTCACACTCACATCACTTAAGCCACTAAGTGTGAAGTTTGAGAATTCACCTTTGGGGTCCTGCAGCGGTAAGCTTAATAGAACCACTGGTAGAAGATGTCCAACACCTATCAGAATAATTTTAAAAATGCTTATTTTCACATAACAGCTTTACTCATAATGGCTTTAAAGCTGTGTGTGATAATTTTGCACAATATTGTTATTCGTCTGTATATTGCTTTACTAAGCTAATAATAACATTGTTTATTCTGTCATATTCATAAGGTCTAAAGACTGATCATTAGATTACATTTCATACCTGCTTGTTCTTTTCAGTGTCACTGGCCCCTTGAGACAATCCCATGATGCACTGGGGAAATGGAGGGCTACACACCAATAATAAAAAATTAATTAAAAAATATTGTCTGTTGTCTCCTCTCTTTATTTCTATCTGGCTGACACACACACACACACACACGAACACAACACAAATTCCACCAGTGTCCTGTTCCGCTCTGCCAAGCTCTCAGGACCACCGGAGGGTACCACATTACAGGTTTGTTTTTCTTGTATCTGCTCCATCAGAGAGGAGCAGACCTCATTCTTGTGTGGCCCCTGTAGGGTCCTGGGGCCCCACAAATCCACCCATCCAATCTCCACTGGCCCCTTGGGCCCCGAACCCCAAACACAACAAATCACTGAAACAAAAATGCGTGCTAGCATCCCTAATGCCCAAATTTTTACACTTCAAAAACACAATTATGCTAATGCCAAGAATCATTTGCCATTCCATCTCTGATTTAATGCGGCCTTTTAGTGGGGAAAGCTAATTAGAGGCTTTAATTAACGTGTGACACAAACTGAAGAGAAGCGCGAAGGAGCCTGTCGATCATGGAGGAGCACAGTGAGAGTGGTGAAAGAGGGAGAGTGAGAAAGAGAAGTCTGAAAGCTATGCAAATGAGGCAAGGGAGTGCCGTGGGGAGTCATGGATCTCTGGCGCTACAACGGTTTTTGTAAATATCACCATGACCCATCGACAGTGTGGAGCCATCTCATTAACAGACTGGAAGGTGTCACCAGAACTCAGTCCATGAGGGTCAGCACAGAGTCGCTGCAACCTGAGCTTAGTGAGGGTACCATCATTAAAACTGTGACAAAACACAGGATTTAAGAGCATGTTCTGTAATGCAAATAACCTATTCCACTCACATCAACCTTTCCAGTATAACTACCTCAGGATGGATGGCCCAGAGCACTGCTGGACACTCACTGCACCTCTATACTATGCATCTGCAGCTGCAGATATATAGGCTATGCTGCCTGAATGCACACTGTGATGGCACTTATCGTATTTCACACAGCGGTTTGCAGGTTTCTGTAAGTTAAATGGCAACACGTGGAGACAGGAGTCACCTTATTAACACAGACTGGAAGGTGAACTCTGCAGGACAACGCTGCATCATTGTTGCACAACTTGAGCTCAGGATATTATCATCATTACAACGGATAGATATAAATCATCATCATTACAACGGGTAGATACAAACATACTGAATATAATCACCTTGTTTTGTTTTGTTTTTTGCAGTTGCAGTGCTGCACTTTTCCCTCTGAAAATAAACTGGGCCAAATAAAACTGAAAATGGAAATAGAAGATAGGAGCTGGAAATAGGAAATTCAAGGAAAGCTTTTATTCTATTTTCACTTGGATTCACAAAGTTCTGCTTCATGGGGAAAGCATTTTAATATGCAATATAAATATATTTCAGGGCTCTATTCATTTCTCCTTTTTATTGGCTAAAGTACTTTTGTGGCAACAGTTTAAAGTGGTTCTTTTTGGAGCATCATAAAAAGACGTTAGGCAGCTAGGGAGAATGTAATTTCCACATTTAATCTATGTATATGACAATAGTTCGGCTTAAACTGTTTGAGTTTTTTTTATACATTTGAACAAGATTATGTACTTTTTGTTTTTTATTTTTTGTTGTATTTTAAATGGCAATATTATTTGCTTGATTCTGGTTGAACAGCAATGCTCATTTATTTTATGCATTCCATGAAAATGTGTACTTGATTTTGACTGTAAAGGCTATAATACAGAAAGAAACCATCATTATTGCTGCAGTCTGAGAGTCTTGGAAGGCTGATGTCACTTTGCTTCTACTTTGCCGAAGCTCTTATTGTTCTTAGTGTACTCTGTCGACATGACTTCAATCCTTTATGGGCACTACAAGTTTTACTCTTTGGGATCAGTGCAGCAGTAGGGGAGTGAAATGTGCAGCTACCTCATCCCTACATGTGTACCACTTTAAAATTCATGGAAAAAATAGTCCATCTAACCGCTGGGTGAAGATTACAGTTTATAGTATTGATTGCCAGTCTCTACCCTTTTCAGTTGGTTGAAACTTTTCACCAGGCCCTCAACTCCATACACTGTGGTATTACCCTATAAACAGAAAAATCAGTGAAGAGTAAATGCATCATTAATCTTCATGTTTCATCTTTTTCCTCAATAGATATAGAGGTGAAACCATCCTGAAACCATGATATAATGCATACACACCCAGAGCACTCCAGTTATAAAACACCATAAATTCACTGAGGTATCACTTGTCATGTCCTCACACATCAAACACTGTTCAAACTTCAAAATGTCTGATCTAAACTTTGGGCTACCATCAATCTTCTCAAGGTTCTCTGTTATTAATCTTTGAGAGGAGACAGAAGAGTGAGGCTCACCTGTGTGTTCAAGACAAGTTTTCAGGTTCAGTCACAGCAAACAACCTTCATGGCACATCGTTCCCTTGACCTGCAGGCAAAATGTACAAAATGGGAAGTTTCAGTCCTTCAACAACATCAATCTCATTCCAGTCAAACTAAATCATGACATGTATATTTTAGAATAGTGAAAGAAAGTTTTACTTCAGGCATTTTAGGAAATGATCTTCAGAGTCTGAACAAACATTTGCATCTCATGAAATGATTGGACAGACTGTGATCTAGGCAATATTTAAGCTGGTACTTTATGGTAGGCAAATCATATACAACAAGTGTCAGTCCCTTCTTATTAGAGGATTACATCTGCAATTTAAAAAGCCTGACAAAAAAAACTAGAGGTGCACACATAGATACACAAATACAAAAGATAATTGTTACTATAAGGTCTATACATTAAGATTCAGATTGTTTCTTTTTTACAATTTATGAGAAAACACATCAGATCATTTAGAACTCAATTCACCGCTGTGGTGGTAAGTAACTAAGAACAGTTACCCAGGTACCTCAGTACAAATTCAAAGTATGTATACTTTGCCTGAGTATTTTTATTTTCTACTACTCTGTACTTCAAGTTCATTATATTTCAGAGGCAAATATTGTACTTTTTAATGCACTATGTTTACCTGACACCTTCAGGTACTAGTGTTTTTTCATCCCCTTTTTGTGCAGTTCCATAGCCTTCAAAATTGTGGGAGTCAAACCCACATACCACTAAATTAGGTGATTTTGAATAATATATTTTCTAAAATTAAATATACAGTTTTTAAAAAGCCTTGCAAGTGCTGGAAAATGCACTAAGCTGAAAACAGGGCTATTACAAACATACAGTATACCTAGCTTGTAGAATATGAAGTATTGCTGAAGGTTAAACTAGCCTACAGTATATAAAGTAATTAAAAATAGTGCAACCTTAAATAACTTCAGCATTAAAGCCCAATATAGGCTACACACAAAAAATGTAATGGCACTGTTTGCAATTTCTTGATTTTCTGCATAAATTGGACAAGAAATATGATCTGATTTTCACCAAAGTCAACAAACACAACATTTCTAAGCTGATAAAACACAGTCATGATCTTTCATGTGTTTAATGAACATACCCATTAAACAGACAAAGTGATGGTGGAAAAAGTAACGGCAACACAAGGCTTCTGAGGTCAATGAATGTCAGCTGTGTCAGGTGTTAGTAAACCTGGAGTCCAATCAGTGAAACAAGAGCTACCTTGACTTATAAAAACACTCAAACAGTGTCAGTGTGCTTTTCACAACAGCATCAACTGATGTGAGCCATGCCTTGCAAAAAGAGATCTCAGAAGACCTAAGATCATGATTTGTTGATTTGCATGTAGCTGGAAAGGTTTACAGAGTCTTCTCAAAGACTTTAGATATGCATCAGTCCAAAGTTAGACATACTGTTTATAAATGGAGATGGTTTGGCACTGTGGCTGTTCTCCATAAAAGTGGGCGCCCAGCCAAGATCACTCCAGAAGCACAATGCAGAATGCTCAATTAGGTAAAACAAACCAAGCATAGAGTAACAGCTACAGACTTGAAGGATTCAATGGAGTTGGTTAACACCTCCATTCATGAGTCAACCATATATAAAATATTGAACAGGCATGGTACCTGTGGCAGGACGCCATGGAGGAAGCCATGGCAAAGACTACCAGGAAGTTTGACAAAGACCACCTTGACACTCCACAATACTACTGGGAAAATGTCCTTTGGACAGATGAAATGAAGGTCGAATTGTTTGTGAAGACCACAGCACTATGTATGGCGTGCAAAGAGAACAGCATACCAACATGAAAACATCATCCCAGCCACCCTGAGTTGGCTGTTCACAAGCTGAAGCTCAGAACAACCTGGAATGATGCAACAGGGAAATGACCCTAAAAATCAAAGTAAATATACTACAGAATGGCTTTGGAAACACAAAATCTACCTTTTGGAGTGGCCCAGTCAGAGCCCAGACCTCAACCCAATACAGATGCTGATGAATGATCTCAAGAGCCGTTCACACCAGATGTCCTAAAAATATGGCTGAGATGCATAATAGTGTCAGAGATGCAGCTCTGTCAGGAAGAATGGTCCAAAATTCCTTCTGAATGTTTTGTGGGTCTAATCCACAGCTACAGAAAATGCTTGCTTGAGGTAATTTTTGCCAAAGGTGGTTCAACCAGTTAAACACACTGTTGTCATTACCTTTTCCACCATCACTTTGTCAGTTTAATGGGTATGTTCAATAAACACATGAAAGATCATGACTGTGCTTTATCAGCTTAGAAATATTGTTTTTGTTTATATTTGTGATTTTGGTGAAAATCAGCTCACATTTCATGACCAAGCAAGGAGATTGCAAACAATGCCGTTATTTTTTCTTGTGACTATATGACAGTAAAATGCTGGCAGGACCCATTTTTCTACCAAATAAGTTTTTTGTTTTATACATTAAGCACATTTTGCTGATCATACTTTAGTATTTTTAATAAAGCACCATGTTAAATGAAGGACTTCTACTTATAGTACTGTTATGGCTAGTCCCCCTCACCTGGAGGGTGAGGGAGAACTGAGAGAGGACTCAAGACTGTTGACCCAGGTGCTAGTAAAAAAGGTGGTTTTAATGGTGGGGGAATCACAAAAAGGAACAGAGTCGAAGAACACATACAACCAGGGCTGAGCAAATACGGCTGAGGAGAAACGGACGACCAGGGGAGAAGACAGGCTAACAGCAAAAAACAGGAGAGTCGGAGGAACAGGACGGACAGGTGAATAAACAAGCTAACCAAGAGGGTAGGCGAATGAAAACAGAAATCCACAGCACAGGAACTGTCAGCGTGGATAACAAAAAGAATGTCTAGCTAACCACATGGGGGGAAAAACGAACTCAGAGATCCACAGCACAGGAACTCTCAGCGTGGAAAACAAAATGACGTACAAATTCATACCACGACTATAGGGCTGTTACGGGGTATGCACGGTAGTGCTCTGGCGACGGTGGAGCGTTCACCAGAGGTGTAAATAAGGTAGGAGGGTGATTACAGTAATGCGGCCCAGCTGTGTGCAACAACTCACAATTCACTAATTACAAAATGCGACACAGGTGGGGCACTGATTCTGCAAAAAGAACGAGCAGAAGAGAGGCAGGTCGCGCTGAGTGGACCTGACAAGTACAGTTATTTGTGGTACTGCTACATTTACTTATGAGTAGGCACTTCTTCAACCGCTGCAAAGAACTACAGCTCTGTGTTTATGCAAATGACATTTTACTATTTCCACAGTACTATGCATTTTATCTACAGAGCTTTGGGCTCCCAGATACAGATTTGGTGGTTCACTCTCTCATAATGTAAATTCATGGCTGCGACAGGTAGCTTACTTGTTTGGGTGAACAACTCTGAAAAGCCTCTGTACGTTAGGCAGGCAGAAAATTGGACACTTTAGTGACTATGCTAACCTAGCCTATTATCATTTAAGCTAACTTCTCAGACAGCCCTGGTCTTTTTGTAATAAAAATGACATTTTGTTACTACGTTTTAGGGCTTGAATGACATTAATTTTCCTGATTGCAGCTCAAACTTTAAGGGTCATAATTAAAACAGTGAGAGACTTTGGATTTTATTTGTTTGCTTGTTGTAAAGTGGTACTATTTCAACAAAATTTGATAATGAACATTAACACGTTTCCAAATAAACCAGCATTTATTGTTTGACTCCTTATTAATGCAGTGTTATACAACACACATCTGCAGTCATGATGTATCAGACAAGGTGCTCTTGTATAAACTCTGAATTAACAATGCAGCAAGGCAATATTCATATGAACTCTGGAGCATTGTTCTCAAGGTCAGTGACTCTTAAGTGGATATAAAATATGTTCTTCACTAATATGATACAGCAGAAACCTCTTTCACTGAGGACACCAGGAAGAGGTGAGCTCATACTGAGAGTATAAACCTACAAATACAAGCTGTCTTCAAAGTTTAAATAGTAACCTAATGGAGTGTAACAAAGTATGTTTACTCGAGTACTGTAACATTTATGTGACAGATATACAGATACTCCACCACCCCCTCCCAAAAAAGAAAAGAAAAGAAATTTTACTGTATATAAATGTGTTTAAACTAGGTCCGATCAATCACCTACTGTACAATGATATATATAGTCAAAAAAAATATGCAAAATAACAATTTCAGTAATTTTTAAGCAGAAATATTTGGTGGTTTTAGCTTGTCATATGTGAGGATTTAACGCTTTTCTTTGTTGATTAATAGTGAATGGCATATCTTTCTGTTTTGGACTGATAATCAGACAAATAGTTTTAAGAGGTCACCTTGGGCTGCTGGAGGATTTCATAAGCATTTTTCATTAAATTTTGACATTTCACAGATGAAATGATTAATCAGATAGTTTAGAAAACAACTGGAAGATTAACTGAAAATGAAAATAATCATTAGATGTAGACCTATTAATGAGTATTTTTTTAAAACTTTAAGTACTTTTTGATCAGACTACTTTTACCTAAATAAGATTTTGAATGCACAACCTTTACTTTTATAACGAAAGAAAAAAACATGTCCACTAGGGTCCGGGACCTGCAGTCAGTGCAATAATCTTGATTATGTTGCCAAGTAACAAAAGTATTTCTTACTCCAAAGTAGATGCAGAGATGTGAAAAACCAGGCCTCCACTTAAGAGTGCAACTACATTTGTATCTGTCCTGAAAGAGCAATAAACTGAAAGAGAATTCTCATTATGTCAGTAAACATTATTTCATTGCACTCATGAAAAAAAATCAATATAATGTTGAGAGAGGTGGAGGTGAAAAAAACAAAACAAAATGGTAGTGTTGCTGAGGTTGGCATCAGAGGGGCCTTTATTGTGAACTTGATTAAAAGAAAATTGCTTTCAAGTGCTCTCAGCAGGCTGGGGGGTTGAGTGGGTGTGCACTTGTGTGCAGCACTGGTGGAGTTCCACAAACATGCTTTCAGGGTAAGGAAACAAGATGAAGAAATTCTGTGAAACTGCCTGA